AAAAAAAAGAGAGAGAGAGAGATTAGGAGAGTCCAGTGAGAGGCTTAGGACTTTGGGGGCAAGGAAGGGGGCCCTTCTGTCAGAGGAACTGGGAAGCAGGCTGTCAGGGCCTCAGAAACAAAGTGGATGGTCAAGTTTGGGCACCTGGATTCTTGAGGGCCCTGCATGGGCCAAGAGACATGTGAGAGGCTGAGGAGCAGGGCCACCAAGTCCCCAATGCCCCCTGACACAGCAAACCCTCTTCCCCACCCCCAGAACGAGTCAGAATTCCGAGACAAGCTCTCCCCGATTCATATCGCCCTTAACTTCTCCCTGGACCCCCAAGCCCCTGTGGACAGCCATGGCCTCCGGCCAGTCTTACATTACCAGAGCAAGAGCCGCATCGAGGACAAGGTGAGGAGAGGGGGGAGGGATGAGACCCGGGAGGAGAGAGGCCTGGGCACCTGGGGGCAGTGCCCTGGAGCGGGGAGCCTTCAGCCCAGGAGGAGGTCTAAAGTCCGCCTCTCAAGGCTAACCTGCTCCCCAGGCTCAGATCTTGCTGGACTGTGGAGAAGACAATATCTGTGTGCCAGACCTACAGCTGGAAGTGTTTGGGTAAGTGAAGGCCAACAGCAAGCTGGGGGATTCCAAGATGCCAAGGTCGCATAGCAGAACATGTGGCGTTTGGAAGCACTTGGCACCTGAAAAGGTAGAATAGGGACATACTAGCAAGCTGTGTGACCTTAGGAAGTCACTCAACTTCTTTGAGCTTCAGCTTCTTCATCTGTATAGTGGGAATAATAGCATCCGTTTCTCTGCCTTTTTGGAAGGACTAAATGAAATAATCTACATAAAACATCTGGCCTACTTCTGGCCATAGAGTTGGAACGCAGTAAATGGTATCTGTTATTATTATTATTTTATTATTGTTATGGTTCATTGTCCTGATTTGGGGATTAACTTCCCAGTGTCCTTTACCCGGTGTTCCCCCTCCAGGGAGCAGAACCACGTGTACCTGGGTGACAAGAACTCCCTGAACCTAACTTTCCACGCCCAGAACGTGGGTGAGGGCGGCGCCTATGAGGCCGAGCTTCGGGTCACAGCCCCTCCAGAGGCTGAGTACTCAGGACTCGTCAGAAACCCAGGGGTGAGAGGGGATTCTGAGGCAGGGTTTGGGAGGAGACCCCGTCAGAGGGGCACCAAAGCTTTACCTGTACCCACCCCACCTCCAGAACTTCTCCAGCCTGAGCTGTGACTACTTTGCCGTGAACCAGAGCCGCCTGCTGGTGTGTGACCTGGGAAACCCCATGAAGGCAGGAGCCAGTGTAAGTCTGGCACAGGAGTGAGGATCTGAGAAGATAGTGACCAGCCTTTCCAGAGCACAGCTGTGGAATAGGGAAGGGGGCTGGAACTGGGGTGAGGCAAATGCCCAGTCTGACAGGCTCCTTTGTCCTCCCTCCTTGTCCCGCAGATCTGGGGGGGGCTGCGGTTCACAGTCCCTCATCTCCGGGACACAAAGAAAACCATCCAGTTTGACTTCCAGATTCTCAGGTAGGGAACCAGTGGGGCCGGTGGGGCGGGGCCTGGTGCAGGGGGCGGGGCCTGGTGCAGGGGGCATTCTCCTTAGCTGGGCTCCAGCACTGCCTCAGTCTCTCCTCCATCCCACAGCAAGAATCTCAACAACTCCCAAAGCGAAGTGGTTTCCTTCAGGCTCTCAGTGGAGGCTCAGGCCCAGGTCTCCCTTAACGGGTAAATTCCCCGGGGCAAAAATGGGGCCTTTCTGGGAGGAGAGATACTTCTAGGAAAGGGTGCATATGGGATCCCTTCCACTGTCCTCTAAACCACGCTCCCCTTTAGTGTCTCCAAACCCGAGGCAGTGCTATTCCCAGTGAGCGACTGGCATCCCCGAGACCAGCCTCAGGAGGAGGGAGATGTGGGTCCTGCTGTCCACCACGTCTATGAGGTGAGGGACGGTCAAGGCCGGGGCGGGGAGGCACTGGGCTGGTTCCCGGCAGGCTGCTGGGAGTGGAGGGGTGGGACCAGAATGAATGACAGGGAAAGGGGAGCCACTCACTGTAAGTGACTGATGGCTGGGACTAGAGAGAGGGACTGAAAAGAAGAGAGGAGGGAGGGGGAGGGATAGGCGAAGGCCTGGATAGGGTCCTTGTGAGGGAAAGCCAGAGGAGAGACCAGCCAGTTAAGTGACTTGGAAGGGGAGGATGGATCCATCTCCAAGAGCGTTGGCTGGAGAGGATTTTGTCTCTACCTGTTGATCTCCTCCTTCACTTCCGAGGTGGGAGACATGCAGGAGGGGAAGGCGGGCCGTAGTGACCCGGGGTCTCAATAGGGCAGAAGCCTTCCCTTCCTTCTCAGGATGATTGTGTTCTCCTCTCCTCAGCTCATCAACTTGGGCCCCAGCTCCATTAGCCGGGGTGTGCTGGAACTCAGCTGTCCCCAGGCTCTGGAAGGTCAGCAACTTCTCTACATGACCAGGGTTACAGGACTTGGTAACTGCACCACCAGTCACCCCCCCAACTCACAGGGCCTGGAGGTGAGAGGCCTGGAGACTGGCATGGGGAGAGGGACCAAGGCTAGGGGGGGTTGAAGAAGGTCCCTGGAGGCTGGAAGAACCAGGATGTGCCTGAAGCTTAGGACTGAGGTCACTGAACAAGGGGCAGAAGGACCACAGACACCTCAAGGCTGTGGGAGGGAAAAAGACCATTTTTTTTTTT